GGGTTGGAACGAGTCTGTGAGAGAAGCCTAGAACGGGGAATTCCCTCGTGCGCGTGAGAATCATGTCGGAGGAAGGAGAGGATTTTGAGGTAAGAAATTAACGTTTTTTCTCGCTTTTTTTGGTCTTTTCAGCTGGTTGTAAAGCCATCTATTTCCTTATCCATCATCCTTCCCGGAAATGGAACACTTTAATGCAACGCCATTACTCTATCCGGTGTATAACTCTTTAATTGTCACCTGTGACCTGTGACCTGCCTTTTGTACCTGCCGAATTCAAAGAGCTAATTTGGAATTTTGGCGGTGATGGAACGCCATAAGCTTGTGCTAACAAAATTTTTCAAAAGTGAATTGTTTTCGTGTTCACACCGAAAGTTGATCACATGATCAAGTCATGCAAAGAGCCTATCTCTAATTTGAGTGGCTCAAATTTCGGATGCGTCTAAAGACCTACTGTGCCTCGGTTTGATACTGTCGGATGCTGGTCAGGAAACTGGGTCGAGTAAGTTTAAAAGTCCGCTTTTCTTCAGTAGTTCGTCATTTTTTCGTTGGCCTGGCTGGCTTAAGTACTTGCCATAAATGGCAAGTTATGCGTTTAGTTTTGCGTTGAGACTAATAAGTGAAACCAGAAGCTCAGAACTGTGATGATTCGCATCCAGTTTGTTTGGAAAGTTTGTCAGTAAACCGTAACCCTTGATTCATTCGTTGAGTAGTTTTAACATATCGAACATGAATTTTACAATTATGTGAACTCCCACGCGCTGATCGGTCGACGACAATCGTCAGTGAGAGTACTGTAATAGATCAAGAGAAAATAATGGGGCCTTATTTTATCTTGGATAGATGATAAACTAAGTACGGTTTACACCGAGAAATTCGCCCTTACCTCCCCATCCCACGGGGTTCGTAACAACTTCGCCCCATCAAAATACGATAAGCTCTGGCAGCTTTCTACTTAATATGACTTTTTCATATGACAAAAAATATTCCGACTCAGATGAACTCATAGCTTGATCAATATACAGTGTACGTGTACTGGCTGTAACTTCAGCAATGCATGTTCACGTGAACAACGAGTATAGAGACTGATTGTAAACTGTTAACGTATAAAATGCGTATTTCTTCTGTTGAGGTCGATTTCATACAAGTCAAGGGTCTTACGCCAGACTAAAGTTTGAAAAAAGGCCTTTTCAAGTTTTTAAGAATGGGGTACATGCGTCGAATATTCCAATTTTACCGAATCAAATGATCGACTTTAAGACTATTATTACCATATTCTCTAGAAAAATAAGCGTTAATAGATTTAACGTCTATTTTTCTAAAGACTTCGTTTATCTAATATCTCATATTTGACAAATCACTCTGAGACAATGGACAGTTCCTTTTGAGACAAATTACTTTGTCCGCGTGGAATTAAGTTTTCTTTGTCTCTTATGCTGTACGTGACACTCTTAACTTAAAACTTAACCAATATCCATGGCAGTTCTATATAAGTATTACCTCAAATAGAGACTGAATACAATTAATGCCGACTCATGGTTTAATTCGGTCGACGACGTGGTTTTTCGGAAGGGTTCGGAAAATTTCCGGCTTTCCGAAGAGTTTACAATTGCATCCGTTTACGTCACCGTAACTATAACCGCAGTCCGCAATCAAAAAGGATGTGTCTCCTCGACGCACGAGACAAACTTCCTCTCAGAAACATATTTTCCTCCTACGCAGGACACTAGAGAAATGAACCACGAAAAATACCAGCGAGTAAACTTCTGCGAAATTGCAGAAAACAATATCAAAGAAAACAAAGGGGCCGGTTTATTTTTGTCGTCACGCACGAGAAATAATAACATTCCCGATCACGCGCGCTCCAATTCTGAGATCGAATATCAAGGCCAGAAGCGTGCTTTGCCGCACAACCAATATCAATTCCTTAACCGAAAGATTTATCCAGGTAAAATGTCTAAAATATTATGAGATTTTAAGGACGTACAACAAGCTAATGCACTATGCAAAGCAACAAGGTTGAAAACGTTACGGTATTTCAAAAAAGTTTTCAAAAGTTTTTTTTTTTCATGTGTAAGGTCATAAGGCTGCATGATACTAGCTCGTCGTTATTTTAAATAAGTCTTCCTCTCTTTTATGATTCAGTCAACGATTCTTCGATGGTTCTCAACAGAAAGTCCTTGGATATGTTGTTGATGTCGCGCCGCGCTCTTAAACTTTAAGGGGCATTGCCCCTTTATTGTTCGCGCAGCGGAGTGCGACAGTTTAATGATCCGTGACGCAACAAAGATGTGTTTCTGAGAAGTCAAGGACGTGTGTGCGTGTTTGCGGAGAAAAACAACAATATCTTCACGGAAAAGTTTCTATAATATATCAATGGATCAGATTTAGAACCCCCGGCGTACAGCAAGTACTAAGGGCAAAATGTTCCTGTGATTCTCTGGTTGTTCTATTAAATTCTCCGAGGGTATTAACAAGACAAACTAGAAAAATCTACTATTCAAAGCAGATGCATAAATTTTTACATTGCATAAGCGGACAAGAGGCTTGCAAACAACAAAAGTTAGCCCCGCGAGTAAACGTGACTTTAAATCTCTTAAACGTTGTGGCTGATAGATTCAAATTGATGGCAAAGCCTTACACAATTATCTTGAAAAAAATAAAATAAAGTTGATATGAGACTAATAAAAGGAGTTGAAATATTCTAAACTTAGTATCATTGCATTCCATACTCGGACGGTTTTGTTGACTTGATGTTCGCACATTTGAAAGACAGCTCTCAAAAGTGTTGATAAACTGTGCTTGTTGCTTGCAGAGAGGCCAGATCTGAAATTCTCTAGTCCAATCCTTTCTTATCATTATTGTTATGACGTATGATGCACGATCCTCGCAGTAGAGAGCGCTATTTATGCAATAGCGAAAATCAGACCTGAAAAAAAATCAAGCCTGTACGGGATTCGAACCACTGACCTCTGCTATACTAGTGTAGCGCTCCACCAATTGAGCTAACAAGCCATTATTGTTATTATTGCCATCATTATCAAACAAGACTGGCCCATCTGTCTGCTCGGTTCACATAGAGCAGTTAAGAAATGGAGCTAATATACACTTTCAGGCAGGATTTGCTGACTTGATAAGTATAGTTAAGCCTGTGATCAAATTGCCATCATTATTATAGTTTTATGAATAGATCAAATAGACGCGAATTGAACACGAAGGAGCTAACTTAATTGCTACAAGTTTTCCTCAAGACCCAACTCTCCTTTTCAAACATGCCCTCAATATTTCTAGGATCTCAGAAAAACATATCCTTTCTCGGCAAGCTTATATTAATCTTATTCAAGCTGTACGTGACTCCGGAAACAATACTAAGGTCCTCACCAGGTTGTTTACAAATAAGTTTTAAAGCTTCAATTATTTTTAGATTACCGCAAACCAAAAATTGTTAGCTTCCTTCGGTGATACAGAACCGATTAACGAGATTAACACAATTTCAAATGAAAGTGTGGTTGATTTTGGACAGGTTTCCTTAAAATCTGTCAAAAGAACAACACGGTTACCACTTTAATCACACTTTGTAGTTATTCATCGATGCTGTAAAATTAGCCAGCTGACCGCGACCAGTCCTCAACTAGCACAATATCACAACAAAAGCAGTGTTTTCGTTGAGAGTTTAGCCGCAAGGTAGACCGTTATATTCTCTTCAGTCTGTTCTAAAAGTGGTAATAGAAATGCTTTCGGCTCTTTTGCGAGAAATGTTATCCCATCTTTTCTCCGTTCGAGCTCTGTCCCTAAAATAAAAAAAACCTTTTTTGACTTTCGATGTTTGTGACCTTTAAACGTACCGCGTTTTGCCCACAAAAACGAATCATTCTTGCATGATTCAAAATACACTTAGTCTTATACAATTCGGAAGCCACGTTGGACACAGTGCCTATAAAAAGATACTTATTTCGTTTCAATAATGCATCTCTGTATATCAAAAAGTTGTAAATTCCTATTGTTCTCGCGTCAAAGTTTAATAAAAGTTTTAAACTACAGGGGCAGTTTCATCTCATTTAAACTTGTTTTCAGGATTCGGTACTCATCCAACTCAAATTAAATTTTTAATGAGATTATAATGAGATCAATGCCGGAGGTGAACAAAGATTTTCTTTCGGTATTGAGATACCGCGATCACTGGCTTTCTCTCTGCTAAACCGCGCTGCCCAATACCAAAATAATATTCGTGCTCTTTATCGTAATGTTTGTTTTTCTAACGAAAAGATTATTTAATAACGAGCGCAAACGAACGATCGACCGCTTCAAGATTTCTCAGACAGATATTTCAATCCAGTCGAACTTTAACTTTCTTTACACTTCCACTCGCCTAAAAGCAAACTGAAGTCAATAAAAAGGTGAGCAGATCGAGAGAGA